TTTTCTCCCTAACTCGCCGAAATATTGAATTTAAATTAAACAATATTTTTAAAACCAGTCATCGCTCGTGAATTTTTAAGCTTTTTTTTAAAACATTTGAAGTGATGTTTGCTTGTTCTAAACCAGACCAGAAACACAAGCAGAAAAGTTCAGGGAAGTGGGGAGAAGTAGCGCCAAATGGACAGAGAAAAGTTATGAGCGATGTGCAGGTTGAAAAAATGCAACACGTAGCATTTGAATAAAATGTGTGAGGAAAAATACGCGCCACCGGATTTTGGGGGATTTTTTGATAAGCGGAACGAGTGGGGAAGTTAGAGATAACAGCAGGGAAAAAAATATAGAACAAAGTTTGATTTATGGCTTCTGTTCGGAGATTTTTAGATGCAAACAGAAACTAAAATCGAAATCAGTTGCACATACAAAACCGAGCATAGATAGTGATACAATTGTAGGAAATATGGAATATTAAAAAAAATATATTTTAAAAAGTTCTTTAATTCAATCTTTATTTTTCCATATTTCTATGTGAAACGGTAAATTAATATGTGCTCAAAATATCTTTCATCTATCCTATTTTAAAAAAGGCAACTTTGAAACTTTTCCAATGATTTTTAAAAGCAACGTACACCTCCCTAACAATAACCAAAAAAAAAGACGCACTTCAATAAAGATAATAAAAAAAGAGCAGCAGCAGATGGAGTAGCGTAATAGGAAAAAAACAGAACCAAGATGAAATTGCATTATGTCGATTTTGTGGATTTTCCTATGCAAAGAGAAAAGTGCAAGGGGAAAGATGACGAAAAAATGAGATGGAAGAGGAAGCTCGAATGGCTGCAAGTGGCTCAAAAAGTGCCTCAAGATGTGGCAACATTGGTCCAGGACAGCAGTTACTTTGCATCTTTTAAGCACTGCTCCTCGGACGGGATGGCACAGGGAAAGAAAAATGCCATGTTAGTGGAAAAATTGAAGGTAAAGGGATAAAGAAGTTTTCATTGGTTTTGGCTGCGGGCTGATGAAGCCGAAGCAGCTTCAGGTATCCGCAGCCTCATCCCTTTTTATCCAGGCTCATAAAAATCATTCATTTGCGAAAAGTCAAATTGCCAAGCTGGAAGCGGAGAACTCAAGTGAATTGATAAGGATTTTTATGGTATTTTAGAGAAGCGTTTTAAGCTCAGACACGGAAATCTTATAATTTGTGAGACATTAAAAGTATAATATAGTAATTATAACAATAATTTCTAAATTATGTTAAAAATTGTATAGTCTCATTTTATAAGTTTTCCAATAGCTTATCTCGTTTGGTTTATGGCCAATAAAAATCCTATAAAACTGTCGCATAACTCTTTTAAAGTTGATGAATTGTGTCAGAAGATTATAGAATTTATTGGTGTTCTTTTGACATGCCTCTAATCTTAGACAAAATTATAATTATAAAATTGAGAGCGAATTTTTATGGATGCTTGTAAGTAAGGGGGACAAAAAACTAATCTAAAATCCTGTCTAATGCCGAACTAAAAGTGAAACAAGCATTTTTCCCAGCGCCCTTCCTGTGTTTTTGCGTTTGATTTGCCAACCCTAGTCTTGATTTCGCCACCCTTTTCCGCACACTCAAAAACTCAACCACCCACGAACCACAAAAACCCCCTTGGGTTTATCCGCTTTAAATTTGTGTTTATCTGGGCACACGACTCGATTAATTTTGGGGGTGGGTTTAAGAAGCCAAGGCGTGTTTTTAATTGCCAAGGACAATTAAAAACAATTTTGCAGGCACAAAAGAGTTGGCAATAAATTTAATTGGCCCGCTGCCGTTACGCCCATTGATTATTTTCGGAGTGGGCGTGGCAAGAAGCACTTTCACACCTAGTGACAAGGTGTCCAGGGTTGCCACCGCCCAAGATTTTGGTGGATGTGGATGGTGCTCTCTGGTCGGTTTTTCGCTGGAATGGGGCGGCAATTTATGTGGCTGTCAGTTGCAGGGGCAGCTTGGATTTTTATTGGCACCCGGCACGCAGCCAGAACTTCAGCTTCGTTCTTCGGCTTCCTCTCAAGTAATTGCATCGAGCACATAAATCAATTGAATTGCATTTTCATGCGACAAGTTTGGCCAACCCTCGATTGTCTGCAAGTGAAGTGAAAGCCAAAAGTAGTTTTCCTCCGGGCCTGTCTCTCATCTTTTTAGCTGGCCCCTCGAGCGTGGCGTAATCAATTGAAATTGCATGCAATGCGTCACTGGCAGATCTAAGACCCCGCAAAGTTCAGTTCCAAAGCCAAACCGAAGTCGCAGTCGAAGTCAAAGCCAACCCCCCGAAAAGTAAAGAGTATTTTCCCCGTTTTCGACGCAACACGTATAAAGATAATCGGCAACTTCGTTCTTGGCTTATCAAATTAAATGATTAATGTGTACCTATGTTTCCTCTTTCAGTGCCTGGAAAATGTCATCAGCAGTTTTCAGTTCGGTTCTTCGTATTTTATTTTCTTGCCCGGAGTTCAAATGGTTTTCGTGTTGCGGTTGTCGGCTTGGTTTAAGTTTCGTTCAACATTTTATTGAGAAACTTTTGTTTGTGGCGACCTTTATGCTTAGCTGATTTGTGGCTGGGAGAATTGTTTTGAAGTATTTAGTGTCAACAAGATCCAAGGAATTAGGACTAGCCGAAGGTTTCTTCGATTGAGTTAGAAGTGCTTTTGTGGCTTTGGCATGACTAGCGATCTAGAACTCCGATCTTAATGACTTCAAGTAATACACTTAATTTTAAAGGAAATTTAGATAAAGTCATCTTTCTCTTAAATTCTTAAAGTGTGACCTTTATGACGTCCTGATTATGATAACTTAAGTGAAAAGTCCTATCGAAGGATTGTCTTTTCCCTTGTTCCGCATTATCCTTTCCATTTCCATCATCCAATCATGGTTTCATTTGCTCCTGCGCTCAGCACACAAAATTCTCAAAATTCCATCAGCCAAAGTTTTCACCATCCACAGAGCTCATGATCCACACACACACACATCACATTAATCAGTCAGGACAGTGGGACAGACGGACAAATACGCACTCGAAAGTATAACTCATCAGGGCACAAATTACAAAGACAAACGATGACTGACAACCGCAAGGCTTTTTTGGCTCCCAAACGGAGAGATAGAGAGAGGGAGAAGTGGGGAGGTCGGGGTCACCACTTAGCACCCACAATCCACAGGGCTGCAGCGAAAAACCGAGGACCGAGGGGCAGGGACATCAGCGTTTTTGTTAATTAAACAAATGCCGCAGTGACATGTGCACATCACGAGAGATGTGATGACTTTGCCGGGGTTTTGGTTTGGGCCGCTGCGGTTTATGCATCTGCATTCGTGATGGGGGGTATGGGCTGGGTATATATGCACCATAAAGGGTGGGAGACTTGGGTTCGGTTTGGGTTGGATGGTGCTGAATTCAGAACCCACTGACAATTCCGCTTGACAAAAGCGCACACAAATAACGGAGGAAAACAGGCGACGTCGCTGACAATGGCTCCGCATGCAATTTAATTTATTTCAATTGCAACGGAATTATTACGACAGACGACAAAGTGCCGTCGCAGAGCAATTTACCCAGCATCCCCTGGGCGCCTCTCCTGTTATCCGCTTATAGCTCCCCTCGCTAACCCAAAACCCAGCTTCTTTATCGCTTTTTTAGGGAACTGTTAATAAACAAATTCATGTGCGAAGAAAGTAAGCGCGCCGAGCGTCGATTTCAATTAAACAGACGCGTGGCTCCCGTTGCCCACTGAAGTTGATAATGACCACAGTGCACAGTGGTGGCTAAAGGGGGGTTACAGCGGGGGTTCTATGGCGGGTGCTAGCTCTGCGGTCAGGAAGCTGAATAACTTTATTTATCAACAAAGTAAGATGTTTCAGTAACACTCTTTTATAAAGGAACTCTGGTCGAAGCCTGTTTATATTATTGCCATCTGCTTTCATATCCTATTTTTAATCTTTTTAAGCATGGTCTATGTTTAGAAATGTAGTACTGTTTAATTTATTTTACCTGACCAGTGCACATTTATTTTGATCATTACTTATATGATCATGATCATTATTATTATTTATATTTTAAATATTACGGTTGAGGATGTTTTTGTTTTTTATATTATAAAACCGAGTGCAAAGTCGCTGTTCAAGACCCAATTCCCGTTGCCAATTCCCGGATGCAATTTCGCAATTCCGACCCATCGTGGGTGGTTTGGGGGCATTCAATTTCGCCACTGTTGATTTCGTTGTTGTTGCGGCAACAAAACACTTTTATTTTTGCCGTTGTTGTTGCCGTTTTTGTTGTTGTTTGGCTTGGCCAGTTTCAAGTGTAAATTAATTTATGAGGCACGCCATGGAGCTGGCGCCAGGCTGCGGTCACAGACACCCCCCTTTGCACCCGTCCATGCAGCGGGGCGGGGTTCAGGGGGAAATGTCAGCCAGAGTGTGAAATTTCATATTTGAATACTTGCCAAAACGTTGACAAATGAAGTCTGCATAATTGGCTAACATTTGGTCATGGAATCGGAGAGCTTTTACGAGTATGAACACACGCCGGAATATAATCAAATAATTTGGGGGAAAAACGTAGCAAATAAATATAATATTACAATTCGTATGGGTTCGTTTACTCTAATGCTTTAAGATCGTTTCAGATCATACTCATATCAATTTATTGACTTATTCATTGAATATTTCCACGACAAAACTATTTTATCATTAAATTAAATATTTTTTTCTAAATGTATACACACAAAAAAAACTTCCTTGACAGAATTGACATTTTTTTGTGGTTGGGAACTGTTTGACAATTTTTTTTGTGTGTATTTTTGTTTTAGAAAGGTAGGAATGATCTTAAACAATAAACTTTTTTTTGGCAATATTGGTTAATTTTTTTCTTACCACCTATATATTCTAAGAACCCCCCTCGCAACCGAAACCTGAAGCCGCCACTGGTATTTATGAAAAAACGTGTTCAATTTGAGTTGACTTAACTCACCTTTCAGTGTGCCGATGAAAAACAGAGCGGCCAGCAAATTGAGATGGCCAAACATGTTGGTTGTTGATTTCTGACGGATTTTTGTTTCGAATGGCTTCCTGCTCCGTTCAAAATCTGCAATGGGAGGAGGAAAAAAACGGAATATGTAAATAATTATTTATGGCTCTAGACACGCCCGTGAGTCACTCACTATAGGCGACAGAACAGAAGGCAGCAATTTGTTTGATTGTTTGTTTGGGCATAATAGAGACATTTTTGGGTAGAGGGTGTGTGGAGGGATGGGCCCAACCCAGGGAAAACAAGTGCGGAAGAACGCCAGCTGTCACCTGTGATCTCTAACCTGTTACCTGTTACCAGTCACCGTTTCGCCTGTCATCATTCAAATGTCATTTTCCTAAGGGGGCGAGCCATAAATTGCCGATTGACACGGCACCTGACGCTAATCAAAACTACACATGCACTTTTGGGGGAAAGCCCTCAGTTCACTTCCCCATTCCCCATTCCCCTCGGCAATTAAGTCTGGTTTTGTGTTTTGGGCCTGCTAAATTTTCATTACTGTGGCCATTGTCTGACCCAGGAACTGGGGGATTTGAATTCGATTTGGAGCCATGGGTAAACCCACCTTGTCCCCCCTTTTACAATCGTTCAATGATTGTCATCGTAGGTGTGACTAATTGTTGGTCATTTATCTTCTTTGCTTTCTTCTCGAATTTGATTTTTTTCAGTATTCCTCTGGCCTCTTTGTTTTTCGGTTTTCCCTGGAAGTCATGAATAATTTCCGTTCTAAATGGAAAGGCTGGGCATTGCCTTTCTCCCTGTCTTCCTCTGTGTTTCTAATTGATAGATAATTGAAGGTCTCGGTGGGGAAAGGGGAGTGTTGATCAATTGGCTGGAGATGAGGCAGAGGATGATAAATGAATCCCTCTGATTGAGTGGGGGATAAGATGGGGCTCAATGTGATCATAGATGGTAATTCTTTCGATTGGATGATGTCACCTCGGGATTGGTCAGCTAAACATATTTCAGGAGATTCTCTGGAATGTATTATACATTTACCATAGTTTAAGTTCTTCGGTAGAAAGATATTTGTTTGCCATGCTGCTCAAAATCTTAAACGAGTTCTTTAAATTGGATTTTAGTTTGGAGAAAAATGTCAATTTATGTTTATTAAAATTTTATTACTTTTAAATCGAAATACAAAATTCTTTCAATTATGGTTTATTAAAATTTTAAACATTCAAAAATTGATATTTTTCCATTGTGATTTAAATTTGTGAAAATGTGTCATACAATCTGAGCACTCCCACAAAAAATATCTAAAATCTCCGACACGAAGCTTTATATATATAAATCTCATGTGGGTCACTAAAAGTTTTTGATTGACAAATGCAGAAGACATTTATGGTGCGGATAGAACCAAATCAAATAAATTAGAGCCTCGAATGACTGTCAGAAAAGTGCCTGCATGCAGATGTAAACTTGGGCAATTCCACTAAACTGAACTCCAACTAGACTGTGACTATCCTGACTATAATGTGACTTGCATATCCGTGTATCTTTTGAATCCCTCTGTCCCTGCGTTCCCCCCATCCGTTCGCTTTGTATCTGTTTGCTGGCACCGTAAACAAGTCAACAAGGACCGACTGCCATGGGCAACAGCCCCGCCCCCATTTGCAGGTGGACTTCCCGCCCCCTCGACAGGTGCACAAAACGGAGCCCTAACATCGTCACACACGTCTCATTTTCCCTTCGCTTTTCGCTCCTTTTTTTCGGTTGCTGGCAAACTAATTTCAAAGCAAATGCGATACTGTCGCAAGTGACTGAGACGACTCCCCAGCCTGTTGTTGGGTTTCCTTTCCTCCGGTGGTTCAGGTGGTTCAGTTTGGGAGTGGTGCTCGTATGTCACCCTGTCAGCGATACCCTAACTCAGGTGAGTCCTTAGTGACCTCAAGTGTTGGTAAAAGTAAAGGTTAGAGTTCATTTATGGGGGCTCTCTCTTTAATATTATTTATATATTTTTTATATATTTAAGTTCTTCATTTTAGGTAACCGTTTGCCAAAAATATATGATAATAACATAACATCATCGACTAATAGCAAGCTCTTAGACCAAAACCCAAATGCTTCAATGTTTTTTCCTCTTCTTTTTTTTTTCAGTGTGCCAGAAAAACAGTCTTATCACAAAAAACGGATCTTTAACCTTGCGACACTCACGTGTGTTTTTTTTTGGGCAGCTTCATTTGCATAATTCTGTCGTTAAGTGGCGGAAAAGTGTAATCGAATGAACGAGTAGATAGTAGAGCCCAGGGGAAACAAATCCCAGAACTGCACTAACCATCAGTAATTAGATTGTAAAATTTACAGAGAAATTAAATTGAAATTTTCGCACAATGGGAAAATCATTTGATAGCCGGAAAAAAGCTGAATGTGTATTTTTCATTTTCACAAATGGTCATTATGGTCAGAAGTTGGATGAAGAAGACAAAATGAAAAGCTGTGCAAGTGGGGAAATAGGAGAATGATACTCGAAAAACTTTCGCTTTCCCCATTGTGGTTCATTGGGTTTTTAGCTGCTCTGAGACCCTTGACAGTAAAATGTGTGAAAATTCTATGGGGATGGAATTGCTGCCAGGTTCTCCACCCTATGCCATTTTGCCCTTGGCTATGGAAAATTGAAAAGTTATCAATTACCGTTCCTTTTTGAGTGATTGACTTTCCCAATGCCGCTCTCGAATGAAAGTCAAGCATATGCCAAAAATGTATTGTTTTTGGGTTTTCCCTCGCTCGACGTACATTTTCAGAGCTTCTTTGGATCAGGTTACAATTTCATGGCCCGAAGCATATTGAGGTAATTGAATTTCGGTTTTTGGCCAAGCGGCTGATGAAGTGGGAATAACTGAGGTAGTAAAATGCCAAAATTACCAGTCGAAAAAATTTACAAAATTCGGTAGGTAGATTAAGTTTGTAATTCTATGAGGTTGCCTGTTTATGGCAGAAATTCATTAAAGTTCAAAAGCACTTTGCAGTTGTGCTGGATGTTCATAAAATTGATTTATTAAATATCATTTATTTAAAAAATCGACAATTAAATTCATAATTAATATTCAATTATCTAAGCAATCAAACAAATCGAATATTTCCCAAAAAATAAACTAATATAAATTCCAACAAATCATTTTCCATTTATAAAGGTTCAATACAAAAGCTCACTACCAAATACTTATGAAAATTAACCCATAACAGCACCACTTAATTCGATTCACCCACTTGACTTGATTGAAGGCAGCTCAAATTGCCCAAATAAAAACCAACTAAATTACGATGATGGGAATTAATTAATAAGTCCGGACAATAAATAACAAAGGCTATTTATAGATTGGGAATAGCAAGAATTCCATTGCGAGACCAAATAAAGAGGAATGTGTTTTTTTAGAATTTATTACGTTCGTGTGGGAGGGCCACTTGCCGCGTTGCCAAATCGATTTCAAAACTTCATAAACAACCCGGGCGAAGAATCCCCCTTCGGCAGCATTTGAGAAATCTCCGCTCGGCCAATAAACTGGGTACAACAAAAACAGCACCGAAATGAATCGAAATTTATAAACAACAAAAGGCAGCAGTTTGTGCGCCTTAATTTGTTTATTTTGTGCTAAAGAGCAACACGCATCGAGTGCCATAAAAAATCAACAGGCGGCATAAAAAGCGGAGTGGCAGGGGTAAAACTTACAGAATTTATAAACTGTGCAAACTCTGGCCGAGAGAGGCAGCCATAAAAAAGGCAAAAACTGAGTCGAAAGGGAATATTTATGCAAACGTCAATTGGGCTGCAATTGAATTGAGCCACGGGGCATGGCGCATGAGAAATGAAACATGAGGCACGTACTTTCAGATGCCCCATCGAAGAGCGGGATCTTCGGAGAATACCCTATGAAAAGAGGTTTAGCTGGCAAGGTATTGTGCCATACAGGTAGTATGATAAATGTACTATAAATTAAATGTACTCGAAATAAAATATATGTGTTCCATCCATCCAAGGCTGTATTGAACTGTAAAATATTTTTGTTTTGTGCTCTGTTTTTCTTTATTTTTTTCTAAACTTTAATTAGTTTATCTTAGTTTGGATGTACAGAAGCTATTTTTTATGAAATTATTTTTTTTATTGAGTTTATTATTCGTGAGATTAGAAAAACTGTTGCTTCTATGAAACTAATATGCCTACAATTTAAACTAACCAAGAATCTCATATTGTTTTATAGTTGAATAAAGCCAATTTTAATTGCCTGAAATTTTCCAAACCAGAGCATTTCCAATTCGTTCGATGAGTTTTCATTTGTATCTTTTATTAGGCGCCCCCTTCCTAGCCCGCCCAAATTGATATACAAGTCAGACAACGTGACGTATGAGTGATGATGCGTGTGCGCCTCCTTTTCGAGTCCCTTCCCCTTTTCCGCCCACCGTGTAAACATTCGATTCGATGGTAGCAGCATATGATTGCCATATTTGCCATAGCGCCAGTTCCGAAAAGTGTTCGATAAATGGGAAATTAGGTTGCAACGACGCCGGCGCCAATTCGAAAAAGAAGAAAAAAAAAAAAAAAGAGGAACAATCGGAAAAGCGAAAAGAGTTTCCACTGGCTTGTTTATGCCCGTAGCAGCCACTTGAGGCTGTTGGAAAACCCCCTTTCACCTCCCCTTTCTCCACTAATGGCCAGCGTTTGATTGACTGACGAGCGAACGAGTTGAATGATTGCCTGCTGCACATATTGATTTGCATCTAGTGGATCGCCCATTTGCCGTAATTTGCCTTACACAATGCCATAATTTATTTGATTGATATGCCGTATATGAGCCGAGTGTATATATGTCATCTGCCTATATACATATCGCATGAATTTTAAAATTATTTGCCTTGGCTTCTCGCCATTTGTTTGCCGCTAATTTGACTGTCAATCAATCGGTGAATGCAAAAGTTTTTTCTGGGCCACATAAATATTTTCCTTTTGTAAATTCGCCATAAATAAATACACACATTTCCCATTTGTTTGATATAATTCGCTGACGTTCAATGTTTGATTTCAGTTATGTTATGCACATACATTGGGATTAAAAAGCGATATTATTCTCTGACATGAAACAAATTCCACTTTCAGTTTATCTCTCTTTACACGAAAAAGATGATATTTTCGATATTGTTTTCTATAAAACATTCATTGATATGGTAATTTTTCAGAGAGTCTACATGTTTAACTTGCTTTAAGGTAGGTTAAGAATGTTGTTAGAAATTGAATGATTGACCAACAAATACTATGTATGTTTTAATTAAAATGTTACGCGATCATAATCAAAACTAAAATTATAATCCTCACTTTTACCAAAAAATGAGACTAAAGAAATAACAAATAAAAGTATTTTCATTAAGTCAATTTCAATCAATTCCGGACCGGCCACTTTATGCATCAATTTTTCATTGAATTTCTGAGTTTTATATTTATAATAAATTCTACACCGAATTTCCATGGGGAGTAGAGGAGCTCAAATTAATTGTCGGTAAGAAATTCGAGAGGAGTCATTTGCCAACAAATTTTTACGGAGAACAAGGAACAAAGGTTTTATTTAACTTGGGCCGAGGCCATCTCAATTGGGAATATGCCATAAATTTGCAGAGAAATTGAAAACAGAGCAAGGGAAAATACGATTTTGCTGTGTAAAATATATATTTTTGTGTGTCTTTACTTTTTGGCCCGTAACATCGTCGTCATCGTCATCATCATCGTCTTGGCCATCATTTATTCATGACAATTTTTGCTTCTCGCAGCTGCAGCCTGGAAATGCGAAATGAAAATGGAGTCACAACTATGCCGAGTGCTTTGAGGTGAATTTACCTGCAAATGAAAAACCCACTCATCGATAATGCAGGCGAGAAACCGCAGGAAAATGGGGGAAGAGGAAATGTAAAGCAATTTTCGGCCCATAAATGAATGAGGAATATTTCTACCTTTCGACCAGACAAGTACCAGCCACGTAGTTGGAGTTTGGCTTACAGGCCAAAGGTCCTCATTCCAAAGTAAAAAATATGCGTATTTTCCATAACTTTAGCTAGATGACAAGGGGAAGCCCAAAATTCAAACTGTGCAAATGAGTTGGCCACAAAATGTCAGTTACAGACACCTCACCAAACTTTATTTTCCCCTTTTACGAACCGCAAACGCGTCGAAAACGTTGGGGTAAGGAAACGACGAGAAGGAGTTGGTGGAAGTTTCTTTTTTCCATTTCGTGCAAATAAAATCAATCAATTTTCGGTCTGGCAAGTGGCAGTAGCAACCAGTGGAGAGCAGCCAAAGCAGCATTCTAAGTGCTCGTCCGACACTGAAATCTATTTGCCAAGGTGATGACAAAAATTGGTGAGCCGGGGGGAGGGAAATTTGAAAAGTATTTAGGGGAGTTTCGACTACTTTTATGCTTATACGAAGATTCTAAAAAGATAAGCAGGATGTTCTTAAATTGTTAGCTAAGTCGTTAAAAATGGGGCTTAATATTCGCTTTATCTTTTGCATTTTTCTTGCCTCATTATCGTTAAATATTTAATATCGCTCTAATAATTTGAAAATAAGATTTATATTTTTCATTATATTATATAAAATTAAAAAAAATGTTTCCACATTTTTCGAAGAATTAATTTTTTTAAATCAAAAAATTATTGTTATTAAGCATGATTAATATTCCGTTAATTTTTTCACTCATCCAACTCTTAAATCTTACGTTTTCATATGTTAAAATATATCCGGAATCCGACTTATTCAAACAGATCCCATTGAGACGAGACTCCTTAATAAGTCATCGATTTCCAGGGCAGCCGCTACAAACCCACTTTGAGTTCGGTTCCGTAATTAATAGAATCAACTGGAGAAGCAAACCCTCAAGTGTTGAATGATTTAGCAGCCCCTTCTCCTTCCAATTCAGATTTTCCATAGAAAGGCGGCGGGAAATTTTCATTAACAAAAACCGCAATGGGAATGGGAACACACAGTTTTCGAGCCCTGTGTCGATTTTTGTAAAATGCCCGAAAATAAAAATCAATCAACACGTTCGCTTAATAGACCATCGACTCTCCGCTCAGATGTAAATGTATCTGCAAGATACATCTTCGAGTATAAGTATTGCACAAAGACAAATTGCTTTTGTCTCTAATTTTAACACGACTTTGACGGGCTCTTCTTCTCTCGACTTTGCTTTAATTTGTTTGCCGTGGGAGTGGAAAAATGTTCACACGGTTAAGGGTTTTTTGTCTACGCCGTTTTTTTGTGTGTTTCTTGAGTTCTGTTTGGAATTGATTGGCGCACGTTTTGCGCGTGGCAAAAAAAAAGAAACACAAAAAAGAAATACAAAGAAAAACTTTACCCAATAACCAAACAAAAAACGAGAGTAAAAGTACAAAAATCTTTTATGGGGGCTCACGAAAAATGCATTCCGAAAAATTTCACATTTACATTTGGGGTTTTTCACCGCTCTGCTTTATCTTCTTCGGGCTCTTCTGCTGGTTCAATCTTTATTGAATGTCTGCCCGGCGTCTCCAACTTCTTGTTTTTATTTTTTTTGGGGCAGCAGCACTTTGTGGGTGCTTAAAACAGCTGACAGGCCCCACTGACAGATTGATGTATGTTGATTCTCCCTTCTCCCTGCTCATCTCTGGTGAATATTTTCCACACTCTTAATGAAAATATTTCTGTTTGTGCTATTTTCATTTGACTTTGCGGCCTGTTCGAAGATTTATGTCTTCGCCGGGATTTTCGCCCGTCTTTAACCTGAGTTAATTTTTATTGCGGGGGCTAATAGGGCACGCACCTCGACATCTCCTAAATCGTTGACAATTGGACTGCATTTGGGCTAAAATATATTTTGATTCTGTTGGGGTCTTTTGAACTTGGTGTTTTACAAATTTTGGATTTGTTTGACTGGAGAAAATTGAAATTTCTGTGTCTATAAGACTGAAAAGGAAAACAGCTACCAAACGAGGAGTGATCAATGTCTGAGGATTAAGCTCTGCTTTCCTGTCTCATTCCATGGGCAACATTGAGTATATGCGGGTGTTTAGTGAAAAAAGCGATGGGGGAAAAGGGTTGGAAGTACAGATTTTCAGAGGCGACATCTCACGTGACTGGATCAACATCTTAATGCCTTGGGTGTGAAAAATGTTCAGAGGATTTTAGTGAACATTATATTGACAGTCAATTTTTTATTTTTATCAGCTTTCTATCTAATAGGTTTACCTTTTATAAAATAAAATAAATCGGATTCTTGGTAGTAATGAACTTCCAAACTATTTTCACTTGTTTTTCTTTCTTAAAGTAAAATAAGTATACTTCATTATCACTTCAACCTTTAAGGCTGATTCTAGCAAATACATTTAAGTTGCATTGAAAGCTTTATTAAGATCATTCTCCCAAGATCAACATTGAATTTGTTGATTATCAATTCAAACAAATCATTCTTATCAGCTGAGGAAATGTAAATCAAAACTTCTGATTTAAGCAACAATCTTAGTCTCAGCTTCCGCCGAGATTAAACCACCACACAAATCCATTGACAGTTGCTTGATATATTCCCGCCAAGGATTTGGCAAATTTGAAACCCATTTTCCGCCAAAACCCAAAGGCAAAAGCAAAACTTGCCAACGCATAAACAAATATGCCAAGAGCACAGTAGAAAAAATGTGTGGAAAATCTCGCGCGCTTACAGAAAAATAAACAAAGCAAAGGAAAACCCACAAAAAAATGAATCGGTTCCATTTGCTGACCCAAAAAAAAGGAATGAAAAGAAGGGACACCCTCTGGAGGTGGGCAGTAGCTTGAGGGGCGTGGCGTTTGCCCCCATTGTGGGTATTTGTGTTTATCTTAGTATAAAATATTTGTTTATTTTTTGGCGCACTTTTTTATGTTTTGCATAAATATTATGACCGTCCGCAATGCTGTATTGTTTAATTTAATTGGGCTCTTGCACTTACTTATGTGACTTGTTTGAGCGGTTATGATCTTTGTTCCTTCCAAATTGAACGATTTAGCTTAACACTTTTTCTAGATCACTTTGTTTTGGCTGAATGCTGTTTTGTACGCTGTTTATCAGCTGCTTGCAATCATATTTCGTTTGATATCATTTTGAAAGTGGTTTTTCGAACTCTCAACTGTTACACTGATTCACTTTTTTAACCACTCATGCACGAGTGTCGATTTTGGGGTTTAGTAAAGGGTTTTTGTTGTTAATTTTTTTTGTTGACCGGTCACACACTCTCACTCACACATAGATGACACTGAGGGCAACAGTACCGTTAATCCAAGCGTCCGTGACTTGCAATCCGTTACAATGCTCGCGTCGAAAAAGACTAAACGACTAAACGTATCTTTCAGATACATTCGCTCGCATTTGTTTCGTTTCTAGCCGAACAAGTTGCCTCGAACATGTTGCAGGAGCTCGGGTTGCACGGAAGTATCCTTCCGATTGGCTGATTTGACTTCGTCGTTCAGTTTCCGGCTGCAAGTATAATTCATCGTTTCAAAAATCGAATGCCGAAAAATTCTGTGGGTATGCAAATCGAATTTATTTTCAAAAATCATATTCTACTTTTTGTAAACCCTGTTACTAATGTTTAAATCCATTTTGAATTCCTTTAAGAATATCAAAAAGTTGTTATGTGAAATAAAAAGAATATCTAAGTAATGCGCGTCAAAAAGTGTCAACAAATTGAAATTCAAAAATGCCTTTAGCTCTGACATACATTTATAACTACATTTTCGGCATTATTTTTTTCTATTTTACCGAAGGCAGCCGAACATTCACGAACTGGCGCCCTCTAGCGTATTTTACCTGTAACCTCTGTCTTATACGCATTTAGCACAAGTTTGATGTGATATGTTCATGTTCGAAGAGGAGAAGTAGTTTGAGTTCGGAGGCCAACATTATTATTTTTTAAAAGCGAAGAAAAAAAAGTTTGACAAGTTAGAGTCATTAAATATATATTTTTAAAGCCTTAAGAAATAATAGGAATATAAAATTAATCAATACATATTTTTTGTTTTAAATAAAAATACATATAAATAAAAATATAAACATAAAAAACATAGCTAAACAACACCGTGTTAAGTGGCGATAATGAATCTGGCAGCCAAGCCGAGAAATAAAATTCTTATTCATAAAATAATCAAAATAATTTAAAACAGGTTTTTAAAACTCTTAAATAATAATAATGTATTGAATTATTATTTAAATTTGTTCAGGTTATTTTATTTTTTATTTGTTTTTAATTCATGTTTTTTAAAAGCTGTCTGTAAATAAAATAATCCACAAGGTACCTACTTTTGAAATATATAAATATATTCCAATCCCACTTTACGTATTCTAATAAGAACAATTTACCTATCTTGCTACCGGCTCAATCGTTCAAGCATGAACATGACCAACAAAAATATTTGTCCTGCAGTTATATGACCTCTTGCCGATAAACAGGTATCGCTGATGTGTTGTCTAAGGATATCTAACCATTATTAGGTAGAAAAGCAGATGTTATTGTTTACCAACCCAAACAAAGCAATGACATTATAAAAAGCGATATCATTCAATTAGTTCTTCAAAAGAATAAGATTTATTACAAGCTACCATCATAAATATTTCTATTAATTTTTGTATACTTATAATTTGGATTTGCAGAGCAAAATTATACACCTGACAAGTAAATTATATAGGTACTTTGTGTTAGTTACTTTGTGTTCTCACTTAACTGAAGAAAAGCTCACAACCAAGAATGGAACTGTAGCACCTGATAAACAAAATACCATGGTCACACATCTGTGCATAAACTCAGTCACTTTATGAAGCACCTTGGCATCCTGTGCCCCAAAAACTAAGGCGATTGCCATCTTGCCCCCGAATTCCCATTGAGACCGGCCGCAAGAAAATCTCCTGACCATATCTACTTATAATGTAAATAGCGGCACGCCCATAAAACAATTTGCCCCGTCTTACAAATAACCCAAGAAAGAGGCAGCAACAAATTTAACACTTAATTGTATTAACAGGCACAGACATACAGAAAGGGAGGGCTATATGAAGGGAATGGGTAATCCCAGGCAAAAACCAAATCCGGACGCGTGTCCAGTTTGTTGTTGTTTGGTTAGACAGTTTAGGACCCGCACAAAGGGCCAATACAAAAAGGGGATATATTGGGCCAAGAAAACCCGAGAAGGCTGAGATTGGAACGGGGAAAAGATGGGGGAGGAGCGCCCCGGTTTGATTGATGATTTTATGACATTGTTTACTCAAGTGATGATGAGAAGAGTAAGCAGATAGCTGGCCAGCCCGTCCTTTGTGTCCTTTCAAGCCGGTGTCGAGTGAGGCTCGCTCCTCGGACCCTCCTGATAATTCCCCAGCCCCACGACACTCTCCCTTTTTTATGGTCCTTCCCCGGAATGCTATCAATCTTTTGCTTATTAGGGATAATATTACAATTACTTGTAAGTGAGATAAGCCCCAGGGCAGCCGGGAGTCCTTAGTCGGAGCTGGGACTCGGGTTTATCCGGGGCTCGCCTTGGGTTAAGTGTTCAAGTGGTCGCTTTGATCTCGGGATGCGTGCGATTGTGTTGTGTAAACAGATATCGGTTCAAGTGAAGAAGTCAAATGATTGACAACATGAAGTAGGGGAAGTCTTCTCTGAGAAGAGTTCCCTCTTCGAGGAAGAAAGAATTCGAGGCGCCTAAGGCGATTGCTCTGACTAAAACATTCCGCCGCAGAGATTTAATTACATTGTAGTTCCCTTTGGTCTTTCACAAACGAATTTTAAAGTTCTACTAATTTAAGAAAATATACAAGAAGAAGTTTCCTAGCGTATTAATTAATTGTTATTTTCATTTTTAAAATTAGAATATGTTTTAAAATTTTACTGTTGGATTATATGTAAATATATCATCATTATCAATATCGCATTTATTCTTTCTTTCAACCAACTACTTCTTACAGCTATCTCTACCGTTCTTCTACCTCCAAAAAAAAAACTACTAGCACCTTTGCGGGCTCCTCTCACCTGTCTCATCTCAGCTCAACCTGTTTCAATTTAGTCATAAACTCGGGCACATATACCTGCACCCAGAAACACCCGCAGGTTTCCGTCGAGCGCTGTGTTTTGTGTTCCGTCGGTTTGGTCAGGAAGCCAGCTGGTTCCATGGTCACTACACCGCCGCATGTCCTTTATCCTTTTGTCCTGGCCTGGTTTGATGATAAATTAGACAGAGGGATATAAGACGAGGGCGGGGCAGGGAGCATTTGCGGCTCTTTAGTTGGCCTCACCGGCGTTTACCTTTCTTTCGTCTTTCTTCTTCTGGCCTCCTTCATTTTTTATTGCTTTATTATGGTCTTCCAGCAAGAGTCCTGTCTTCTGCCAAGGTCCTCTATGGCAGTTGATGTGTGTTTGTGTCTGAGCAGAAGTAACGGAGCCGAAGAGTGGTTACATCACCGGTTAATGGCTCGGTAATTGCCTGGTGAATTACTCGGCCGTTGCCTTTCGACTTTTTCTTTGATTTAATTTAAAACTTAGCAATCGCTTGTCTTAGAAAGCGGTTCTAAAAAAAATAATCTTTTAATTTTTAGGTAATTATAGCAAGTAAGATACTTTGTAAATCGTTAGAAATTTTGTAAATGCGTTGTATTTAAAAAAATAACTAAATAATAAATTGGAGTAGTTCCCGAGATAATTATATGCTAAATATAATAACTAATTAATTTAACAAAATACATTTTTATAAAAATAAAACGTTAATACTGAAGATAGGTAATTTAAAAGAAAAGCTCGCTTTAAAATGTTTATAAAATTTTTACATTTCAATATTATGCATTTCAAAAAGAAACTACGTATCCCTACGACACGTGTCAAGAAGCATAGATCCTAGGAGTTTTCCCATTTGTTCACCATTTTTCATCAGCTGCTCTCTTCCCCAGCAATAAAAAAAAATAGATCAACCTTGAACCGCAGAACAATAAAAATTAAAACACGTTTTCGATCCGTGGCAGGACTTTTTCTTGCCGAGAAGGGGATGGATTTGGTATTTGAACACATGTCAAGCTGTCAATGTTTATCTATTTTGGGGGAAGGTGCCTATCTCGTCTCTCTCTCACTTTCAACTCGCCACGTGAAGTGGCAGCCGTGAATTGAGGATTATCGGGCGTCTTGTTGATTTATGGCCAGGCAAACACACACAAAATGTACCAAAATTCGAGTCAAAATGTGATTGAAAACTGATAAGCCACACAGGATTGCCATTGGGGGAGTGGCTTCGAGGTGGGCGGAGGGAGGGTGTTGTATAGGTGTAAAGGGGGGTTAAGGGTAGTGCAAAGGGTTGCAAAGGGGGGTTATTAGTGTAACTGTCAGCTGGGCGAACGTGTTGAGTGCACGTCCATCAAACTTGGTCTGCGGTCAGTGGACAGGGATACAGATTGGGGATTTCACAGAGAGGTCTTGTGATATTCCTGGGAGTTTGTCATGTTTTGTTGAGACTGTACACAGGAAAAAAGGTTTTGGCTCATCGTAAATTGCTTTCTTCATATAATTCACCACAGAAATTTTTTTATTATTTTACATCATTTAATTACTAAAACAAATAAATAAATAAATATAAATAAATAAATAAATTTTAAACTAATGAGCTAGCAACAAAAATGGGATTTGTATGAGGTTTGTCAAGTAGTTTTCCAGTGCACCGAGTGGGTAAGCAATGCTGATGCCTTAATTTACCACTAATTTGTGCTTATCTCGCCGCATTCCCCTGACAACTTTGTGCCACATGCTACGCCCGACTTGGGCGGCAGTTGAAGCTGCATCAGAGGCCTGGGAATGGGGAGTTCCTTGGGGAAGCCCCACTTGCAACCGATGCAAATCGCTTTAGCGACGCCTGTTTATGGGAAATTGCGCTCGGGTAAGCAATCTGGAAGCCGACCAGGCCCAAGTCTGCAACTGGACATCGCTCAAGCATTTATCTAGCATTAGCCCGTTCTGGCAAAGGAATTTGTGTTCTGGGAACCCGACAGTCTTATGCGGAACTTTGTTTCAACTCCGCCAGGTTATGAGTAAACTATGAATGGTTTTGGTAACATTGGTAAAGAAATAATTATGCAAATAAATATAAAATAGCATGATTTAAAAAAATATATTTATTCGTATTTCGGAGCTTTATGCTTTATTATCCTAAAGATTTTCTTATCTCCCAATTCTGAAATTCTTCTTAAGTATTAATGAAAATTTGTTTAATTGTTTTCTATTAAAGCAAATCCAGTGATTTAAAGTGTGTCATGAAAAATATCATAGTTACAACAAGTTGCATTAATTGATT